AAGGAAAAGAAAAGAAAATAATTTTTCCATTGTTTTCTCACCAAAATGAGAGAAATTTGGTTTTCTCTCCTCTTAATACATTTTGGCTTCTCATCTTCTTTTCCTTCCATTTTTCTTTTCTTTTTCTCTCTAACCAAACAAGAAAAATATTTTCCTTCTCATTTTCTTTTTCTTCCCTATCAAAATCTTTGAACCAAACATAGTGTAAAGGTGAGGAATTGTACACTAAGTAAATCAAACAGATTTCCTCATTGTAAAAAAAAAGTTACAGTAATGTACTTTGTAACTCTTGCAGCATTCCTTGGCCTAATCAGTCCACAAACAATGCATTAGACCATATACGTATAGACAAAGCCTAATGTACAAGTTTGAGTGAAAAAGAAGTCTAAGAATCTCATCCCACATCAGATGTTCAAGAGTAAAATAATCGGTATATAAGTTCTTGAGTTGAAGTAACTAATCGATTGGATTTAATCTTTTAATGTGGTTCAACTCAAGTGTCTTATTGTCCAATCTAGTTGTCTATACCTCATCTTAAATTCTATCTAGAAGCAAAAAAAAATGTTAGGGTAAAACTTCTTCACGCAATTTAATTAATTGGTAAAAGAGTGGAGATTGTTCTCGATCTTCAACTTATCTAATTCATTCTGATCAAACCAGAACAAAGTGAAGGAGGATTAAGCTCATGTCGATGGTTTTGAAGAGGAATAATTATGTGCCAAAGAACAAACTCAACCAAAAGTTCAAGCTTGTGTATATCATGTCAAAGAACCAACTCGATCAAAAGACCAAGTTTGTTGTTGTAGGCACAGGACAGGTTTTATACTACTCCGTCTCTAAAAACACTTCATGTTTCATTTTTTGCACATCCTATAAAATGCTTCTACACAATCAAAAATATCTAATATACCCCTAAAAGAACGTCTATCATAATGCAGGAGAAATATAGTGAATCTTAGACATTATAGATATGTATAAGTGTATTTGGGAAAGCACAAAAAATGAAACTGAAACTTTTTTTTAAGAGAGTATAACAATATGTTACAAAACCTAGAATGAGTAAGTGAATGTTGTATACCTCTTCCTTGTCATAGTTTAGAGATCAGAGCACAAATACCTCTTCACTCAAATTCTGACAAATTTTTGTGTTATATATATTGGGCAAAAAATGAGGGGAGATTAGACAAAAAAAATTAATTTGGTACAATACGAATTCCCTAAAGACGACTCTTTCCAAGGCTCTGATTGGTACACAAAATTCAGAATATAGAATTGGAGTTAAGGACCCCAATTTCAATTTTTTTGTTTGGTAGCACAAAAATACGTAGGTTTGGAATTGGTGGTGCCTAAAATGAATTGGAATTCAAAAATTCAATTCCAACCAAATCAGTTCAATAGAATTTCAATTTCTAATAATTTAATTCCAATTCCGTCAAATTCGTGTACCAAACGGACCCTAAGAGAAGTAGAAAACAAAATTCTTCTCATTTTGGTGAGGAACAAATCAGAGAAAACCCTTAGAAAGTGAAATTATAGAAAAACATGCTTTGTTTTATTATTCATACTCGGAGCATACCCACTAATTAGATGTTCCATTTTTTGTTTGCATATTCCATCTTTTAAAAACTATTTTCTTAATATTTAAAAAACGAAAAATTCCATTTTGGTACACCATATGAAGTTTTTCGGACGACCAGCTCGCTAATCCTGTTGCGTTAATAGATCAAACCCAAAAATGTATTGCTACCTCTGCCCTCCTATGGTTTAGAAAATGAGCACGAGTACCCCATATGATTTAGAAAATAGACACTGCTGTCTCTTTCTTCGCCGAAAAAATACTCGAAAAATGATCAAAAAGTGTACAAGTGTAACATTTTGAAACCAAAAAGTTTAGAAATAAGTTTTGAAAACAAGAAGAACATTACTGCTATTCGGCCTGCTTGTGATTGCAGCCCAATTCTAGATCAATAATTTACTGAACTTCTCACAATTATAGAATTGGAAAAACCATGAACTCACATCACTCTTCTTTGTGCACAAGCTTTCCTTTTTGGAAAGCCCCTTGGAACCAATGTTATCAGAATAGGACCGGATCGTGAACCGGACACCAATCCGGTCCGGTTTAACATTAAAACCCATTTTTGCTTTGACCCTCTCAAACTCAAAAAATTGGCAAATCAAGTGATCCGGGTTGGCCCGGCCAGTTTCCGGGTTTTGATCAGAATGAATACTTCCTTTAAAGGAATCAAATCTTGTACCCGGCGCTAAGCAAAGGGGGCATTTACCCAAATGGGCTACTATGATTTTTGATTCAAACGCCATGCAATATGAAATATATCAGTGTTTTAATTTATATATAGAGTAATTTAAAAAGACTTCCTATTATTTAAAAAAAGAACTATATTTATATATTATATTTTTATTATTAAATTCTAAAGTAGTTCAAACTTAAAAATAATTAGTATTATTTATTTTTTATCTTAATAAAAATATAAATAATCTATACGTAAAGTATTATTTTCATCTTTAAAATATTAATTGTAATTTAATATGTTTTTTTATATTTTCAATCATATAATCAACTAAATATAAACTTTACTCCGTAAAATGTAAATAGTATATAAGAACATACTCCGTATTATCTATTCTTTATTTTTTAAAAATATGAGTATTACCTTAGTATTTAAGTATCTGTTAGACATTCACTATTAATTTTTAATAATAATAAAAATAATAGAATAGAAAATAGAAATTGTGAAATAATATATTCACAATGATATCAAAAACTAGATTGAGAAAAATTATATAAAAATTATGTATTATACTTATTGGATAAAACAATATTTTGAAAATATTATTCATTACAAGTCTAATTGCATTATTTTTGCATCACTATCTAATACCGATTTCATTTAATTATTTATTAAAAATTATCAGATTTGACTACAAAAAAGTTAAAAGTGAACAAACATTATAACACTTGCTCATAATACTATCCCAAAATAAACAATCTTCAAACATCTGTACAAATTTTCAAAAAGACTGATTTTTCCCAGAGTTCTTTTGAAAACATTAGCTTATCCATATTATAATTTCCCACACCGTAATTATAATCACTTTCTTTTCTTCTTAATCATCGGATTGCAGATGCACATGTTCGTCCAAAGTCACTAATCATAGACTTAAAATATCTAGCTTGTCATAAGAACTACTTCAATCTCAACATCTTTAAATAAACTGAATAACAGATTATTCATCAGTTTTAATTAGAGATGTTGAGATTGAAGTGGTGTTATGTACAATTAGATGTTCCTTTTTTTCATCTTTTAGAAATCATTTTCTTAATATTTAAGAAACCAAAATTCCATATGATACTCCATTTCCATATGAAACGAAACAAAACCAAAGCTTCTGTCTTTGATGATGAAGATGATGATGGACTGCTGAAGAAGAATTGAAGAAGAGAAAATTGCTAAATTCAGAATTTGAGTATGGAAAAAAGATTGGAAAATAACTTCATTTTTCGATAATCAATTTTTTTTACCCCAAATTTTATATCTTTCTTATCATTTCTCAACTTTTCACAGTCTCTCATGCTCGGACGGTCGTCAGTCGTCACTCTCTACCGGCCAGGCTGGCCTAGAAAATAAGATTAAAGCCTGAGCCTTCAGTTTTTCGGGTTGATCTTTACGAGCTAGGCCAAAACCTGATCCCATGATCGGGTCTATGCGAGATACAAATTATTAAATTAACATCCTTTATTGGGTAGATTTTGTAAGAAATAATCTTAATTACGCACTTAGTGAATTCTCAAAACAGTCCTTTTTAATAAGGTGTTTTTCGAAATTAGTCCTCAATAAGCAATAATTGCCATTTGTCAACATGGTCCTTTGTTATAGAGATGTATTCCTTAAATAGTCTTCTGACAAAATTGTCTACTAAATGTTATTCAAATAGAAGGTATTTTGGTATTTTCTATCATCTAGATTTGAAATATGTTCTCGCTCCTTTATAATTAAGTCTTTTTCTAACTAATACAGAGTAATTTCTATGTAAATGTTTTCTCGAAATGAAGTCCATGAGCCTACTTAGGGTGGGTCTGTTTCTCTAGTGGCCACCCACTTGATTTGGAAGGACTATTCTCTAAGCTTATTTATAGTTTAGATCATGAAAAATACAAAAATATCTTCTATTATTTAATTGTCACTTAATAAGTTTTTTTGACAGAAAACTATTTAAGAAATACATCTCAATTACAAATTACTATATTACTCCGTAGTAATTATTGTTTATTGAGGACTAATTTGAAAAAATACCTTCTTACAAAGGGTCATTTTGAAACTTTATTCTTACAAATGTAAACAAAATGTTATAGAATGGTTTTGTTAGAAGAGTTAGTGTTTTGTTTGCTTGATGTGTGTTGTATGTTCTTTATTGGTTGTTAATTTGGATGATGAAATGCAATAGGTTGAATTCCAAAAAAGAATTTTTATTCGGAGACGAATGGAGTAGATGAATGAGAGAAGATTTCATTTCAGAATGTAATAGAGTTAACGCACCATTTTAGTAGTACTCCCTCCATCCTAAAAAAAAATTTCACAGTTATATTCACACAATCAAATTAAATATTTTACTCTCGTTCCAAATCTTTCTTCTCGTTGTGCAAAACGAAGAAAAACTCCAATCTTTTTTCAATCTATTTTATTTAAATATTAGTATAGACATAAAAAATAAAAATTCTCGTGAAGCTAGAATAGTACTTTGAGAAGAAAGAGATGAGATAGAGGGAGTATTAATTAGATCGGTATGACTGGATGTTCATAAATTAATACTCCCTCCGTGCCTAAATAAACTTTGCCTTTTGTTTTTTTCTTTGTCCATAAACTTCTCTTTTTCTTTAAAAACCCCCTTTTACCCTTACTTTTTCATACCCTACCTATCACATCATACCTTTTTACTAATAATCTATATATCACATCTTACTTTTACACATCACATCAAGGATATTTTTGGAAAGTCAACACAAAAATATCCCTCTTTTAAATCCTCAAAAAGTCAAAAAGGAAAGTTTATTTAGGGAGGGAGGGAGTATGAGACAATGATAAAATACATATTTTGATATAGGAGTGTTTTTTTTTTCAAACCATTCCAATATTTTTCCTCTTTTTACTGCACAAATTCTGGTGTGAGATAGGCAAATAAACCACATGGCAGGTCAACTATAACACTTGTAAGAACAAACAGCCCACACCAATGCATGCCTATTCACTCTGCTATCTCTTCAATTCAACAAACTACTGATCTCAATTTCTTCTATAGATTCTTTTACTGCAATTGACCAAAGGTAAATACCATTTTAATCTAGGCATATAATTGACCAAAGTTTTGGCATAGGTTTCTTATAATCATGTAAAAAAGTTTAGGTGGATCTTTCATGAATCTCTAATCATAAGTTTAGATTTATTTTATTTTTTTTGGTTGAGATGATTTCTTGGATTACTATGATTCTGGAGTATCAATTCTTAGCCACTTTCACACACAAAGGTTGACATAGTCAGTGTTTCAAACATAATGTCAATATTGGTGTCATCCATGGGGTTAAGTTAGCATTTTACTGGAGGAGCTTTTGTCAGATTACACTTCAAGGCTAAAGGACATAAGCTATTAGAGAGCAAAACTTTTCTAAAGGGTTGGGGGTTTTAAGAGAAAAATGGGTTAATTACTTGAAGTAGTTTAGTATTTCATTCTAAGTATGGTATCTTTATTAAATAATTCTGCAGCGGTGATGATGAAATTTGGTTGCAACCTATCAGTGTTTAAGCCTGAGAAAAGGAGACATTTATGGCTAATCACAGGGCTGTTTGCTTTGGTTATAATGGTTCACTATCTTAAATTTCCAAATGAAACAATCAAAGGAACTCTCTTTTCTTTTCAATGGTGGGATTCAAACAGAAGGAATGAGACTTACCAAATGGCCAATGCAAGTTTCAGTGCTAAGAAGGAAGCCACAGATTTGAAGAATGGGTTGGCATTAGAAAATGCATCAAACGCCGAACCGAATCAACAAAAGAAGACCCCATTTCATCCAACCAGTTCCACAGTTCAGATAAGCATACCGCCCGAAATGGCTATGGTTTCGCCTTCTCCCTTGTCTCAATCTGTTAGGGACGGCACAAATGCAACGTTAGTAGGTTTGTATTGATATACGTTGGTTTGTATTTTTAAATTTGTTCGACATCAGATGATTTACTTTGAATGAATTATGCAGATATTTCTCCTAGACCCAAAGAAGTCATAGTGATAAAGAAAATGACAAGTGACCGTAACATTTCTTGTGAGAATCCAATGGTAAAGAAAATGGCAATGACGCAAAAGGAAATGGGAGCGGTGCCATTTTCGGAGATGAAAAACATGCTCTTTCATAATCAATCCCCATACCTTCTCATTGTATGTGTGGTTACATTTATTGTTTGAAACATATACGAGTACGCACATAGTAGGGTAAGGGGTGCCTACGCACACCCTCTCTAGACCCTACCTTTTGTAAAATTTTACTCGGCATGTTGTTGTTGTTGAGTGTTTTCTTATGCAGAAACCATTGTGGCCTTCTATTGTTGATCAAGAGTTGTTAAATGCTAAATCACAAATTGAGAATGCAGAGAAAATTCAAGATGATGATGATGATGGCCTCCATGCCCCTCTTTACTGGAATGTGTCCAAGTTCAAAAGGTGAGCAAATGAAAAAACTTGTGCTTTTTAACTTGTGTTAGGAAACAGTGTAAGTACCAAAGATAGGAAATGAGTCCAGAAGAGCGAAAGTGTAATGAAAAATGGCACAAAAAAGATTGACGCTATCAAAACGGAGTATTACAAAGTCACAAATAAATTTCGCATAAAGATTAATTCCCATACTCTTTTATTAAAAAAAGATTTCGGGCATAATTCCCATACTTTTTTAGTAAAAAAAATAAAGACGAACATCCCCAGGGTCTCCCTAGGACTAGCCGTATAGTTAAACGAGAGAAAGTAAATTGAGGTATAATCCTAGTCTTAGTGTGACAAACAATGAGTTGGGTCTTCTCGTGATACGTGCAAGGGCTCAGCTCCCAAAGTTCCTTGGGATGCAATAACCAAATGATAATGGGTAGGAAGACAACGAGCTTTAAATGCCATTTGTATTGATTCATCGAAAAACAGGAGCTACGAGTTGATGGAGAAGACGCTCAAGGTATACATCTACAGGGAGGGGGAAAGGCCGGTGTTTCATAAACCAGACCTGAGAGGCATATATGCATCAGAAGGCTGGTTCATGAAGCAGCTGACAACCAACACAAAATATATAACAGATGACCCAACAAAAGCACACCTCTTTTACCTGCCATTCGGCTCCCATAATCTGCAGCGCAGCTTGTACGTGCCGGATTCGCACAGCTTTGCCAACTTAATTGAATATCTGAATGCCTATCTCCAGCTTATCAGAGGAAGATACCCTTTTTGGAACAGAACCTGTGGAGCTGACCATTTTCTTGTTGCTTGCCATGACTGGGTATGTTTTTTTTCATGATATTATTTTGATTTGATCATTTAGGGACCGTTTGGTGAGGGTGAAAGATATGGGTTCTGATATCTAACTAAACATGGTTCTGATTTGATATATCTTGATATCATAACCACAAATGAGAGTATTTTGATATCTCTCGAAAATGGAAGATATCATTTCAAATTTCAAAACTCATACCATTTTCTTAGATTTCAAAAGCCACATCAAATTTCAAAACTCATATCATTTTCTTCGCTCACCAAACGGATCTTTAGTTTTAATTAGGGCTAGATTTTTAAAAAATCATACTTTTTCGTCTATTCGTCAAGTTTGACTTTTTTCAAACAAACTCGACGAAATCTAATCATTGTTTAAATAAAAACTGCATTGCATATGAATACAAAAGCAATTTCATCAGATTTATCCTGCAAAAAAAACTTTCAAAAAGTTATTTCATTGTATCAATCTGCAATGCAATCTTTACTTAATTGATGATCAATTTTAACGCAACTTGAAGGAAAGAAGTAAAATAAAGCCGAACGAATATACTGGGACGATAGTAAATAAAGAGTAATTGGTAGTGGTGTAAAAGATACCAATAAATCCTTGTTAGGCAGGCTGCAGAAGAAACAAGGTGGCATATGGCAAACTGCATAAGATCTCTCTGCAATGCCGATCTCCGAGAGGGCTTCCAATTCGGAAAGGACGTCTCCCTCCCAGAAACTTACATGCATTTTGCCCAAGACCCACTGAAGAATCTGGGAGGGAACGCCCCTTCCGAACGGAGCTTTCTCGCATTCTTTGCAGGAAGAATGCATGGCGACCTCCGGCCCACACTCCTGAAACACTGGGAGAACAAAGACCCCGACATGAAGATCTTTGGCCGCATGAACAGGAAAGACTACGCGAAGCACATGAAGAGCAGCAGATACTGCATCTGCGCCAGAGGGTACGAAGTGAACAGCCCGAGAGTCGTCGAGGCAATTTCCTACGAGTGTGTCCCGGTGATCGTGTCCGACAACTTCGTTGCCCCGTTCCTTGAGACGTTGAACTGGGAATCCTTTGCGGTTTTCGTGCTCGAGAAGGAGATTCCGAACCTCAAGAGATTGCTTGAATCAGTACCTGAAAAGAGGTACAGGGAGATGCATGAAAGAGTTAAGCATGTTCAAAGACATTTCCTTTGGCATAATCCTACCCCACACAAGTATGATGTCTTTCATATGATACTCCATTCCATTTGGTACACCAGAGTTTTTCGGGCGACCGCAGCTACCTAATCTTGCTTCTTTAATAGATCAAACAAAAATGCATTACACAAAATGTATGTGTTTTTTTTTTCTTTTTGGTGAAAATAAAGCATGCACATGTTTAAATCCGGGAGGGGTGATAACGCTGGAACGGTACACGAACGAATATGAAGAAACTTGATAGATTAACCGAAGCACGTGATCGCTTTTAGATTAAAGTTGTTTCGGCGTATACCAAAATACTTGAATCGGATAAGACGTTAGTATCTAGAACGAGTAGGAAAGTTTGATCTTATCTCAAACATACCTAGGGACTCCATATATATGAGGCACAAACTATTCGGGCGTGTCTGTTGCCGAAACAACACAACTTTTTGCAGATCATTCGAATGTTTGGTCAGAACATTCGAATGTATGTTTTCAGTCGCAAAGATTGCTGAAAGTTAGAGCAAACATTCGAATGTATGAATTCTAACATTTGAATGTTTCATTATTTTGGCTCCTCTTACGAAAATCCAACGAATTTCTATATAGCAAAGTCCAAAGTAAAATTTCGCAGAGTAAAATGGAGTTACATAAACTAGCAAATGACACTAAAATTACCAACCTGGTCGAGAAACAGGGAAAGGCGTGGAGTGCCCAGATGGCAGACATTTCATCGAACAGTTTGTGTGCATTCTTGGCCTTGATCCCACACGGTAATTATAACAATATTCTTCTTCTTAATCATCCGCTCAAAGATGCAAATCATTGCCGAACTATTCGATTGAATTGAACATTTAGAATGCAGTCCTCTGCATTTTCATTCCATCTTAAAAATTAAATTGCATAATTTGAACTATTATTCAAATTGATTATTATGATGGAATGAAGATGCCGAGTACCTATTCAAATGTTCTGAAACGTTTTTTTTAACGACCCCTCAACAAATACTCAGTAGGGTATAGTCAAAACATTTACTCCCTTCATTCTAGATATATCTTTCTTTGGGTTCCCAAAAAAAACTAAATTTTTTTCAGAGTAAATTTAATAAAAGGTCTTCAGTTATAAGTTGTTTTTCATATTTAGTCTCTACATATCAAATATCAATAATTTAATCCTCAATTATTATATTATTTTCCACGAATGGTCATCTCTTAACATTCCCGTTAAGAACACGGATAAAATTGTAAATTCATTTCTCTCCCTCCTCAACTAAGTTTCCTCTCTCCTCTCGTACTCCTTCCCAACCCTGTCGCTGAGTTTGAAGCTCTGACCCAAAACCGAAACTCTCACTTCTCTCTCAATTGTTCGTCTTTTTAGTAGGATCCAAAATGAAACTCGTATCCTTCGTGGAGAGTTTCAAAGTTTGTTTTCTTTGTAATTTCTTGAGATTAACCCTTGAAACTCATCCATGAAGGTTATTGGTTTCAATTTTGGGTTCTATTACAAAGACGAACAATTGAGAGAAGTGATGGTTTTGATTTTAGGATTTTTAATACTCTTTTTTTAATTTATTTGATTGAAATATTAGTATAGAAATCAAAAATGAAACTTACATATTTAAAAACTACATCAAAAGTCTAACAAAACAAATAGGGACAAGAATATTATATTTTATCATATACGCCATGAAAAAATGCAAATAAATAAAAATTCTCGTGAAGTTGAATAGTACTCAGATTATTTCTCCACTTTTTTTGGAGTATAAAAGCTATCCTTTGTCTCATATTATTTATCCACTTTTAATTTTTCACTCAACTAGAATCTTTTTCACATATAGTTAAATAAAGATTATGTGGTATATAAACTGGATAAAATAAAATTTTGAAAATATTTTATAAGATACATCTAATATAATTATTTTTTATTAATATTGAGTACTACTATTATTTAATTTATGGTCAAAGTTTGTCAATTCAAAACTTATTTATAAAATCTTTGTGATTTCAAAAGGTTGCACACTCACCCCCTTATAATCATTTTTCACCTGTTTTCTGGCAAAGAGAGCGGCATGGGTGTATATTTTCCAAACTATATGGGAAACTACAACTCATTTCTTATTTTTCATTTTTTTAGTCTTTTCCTTCTCCGTCTCTTTCTTTCTCTATAGATATTTTTATTTTTAATTTTTTTCATAATGTTTAAAAAACTCAAAATTGTTTGTGTTTAAATAAAATACTCTGTACAAATGAAATTGAAAAAAAATAACATTTACTTCATCTGTCTCAAATAAAAAATGTACATTTTTGTTTACCAAAATAAAAAGTAAAAGTTTTTTTTTTTGAAAATTTCAAAAAACGAGGAATCGGAAAATGAAATAAAATAAAATAAATAGACAAATGAAATGAAAGAAAATAAAAACATATGAAAAATACTCTTAAAGAAAAGGGGAATTGAAGTAATGAAGTGCATTCATAAGATTCTTTTTTTTGAAATGTCCAAAAATCATTTTTTTTAAACATCTTGGATTAAGAAGCAAAGATTTTTTTGGGATCAGCGCCCAAAAGATTCAAAATTTTGAAAGAAATCGTCTTTTTATTTTTAAGATTAAAAGAATTAACCTTTTTTGGACATCCCAATTATAAGAATTTTTTAGACATTGGAAAAAAGAAGCTTATTAAGGCTTCATTCCATTCAACTTATTTTTTTTGATCTGATTGGATCTGATCTGATCTGAATAAATCTGATCTGATTAATTAGGATTTGATTTAAAATTCAAATCAATAATTTGATCTGACTTTTAAATAACTTTTGAAAATTGTAATGATAATTCATATTATAATACGGAGTATAATCAATATTTTTAATTTTATTATTATTTTTTAATGAAATAAAATTAGTTAATTCATATAGTGGAATAATCATTCATATTATAATGTAATAATATTTTTTTATTTTATGATTATTTTTTTATAAAATAAGAATATTGATTTAATACTTTAGTAATTAGTTCATATGTACATTAAAATAAACATTTAATTCATATATACATTAAAAAGTAATTAAATTTAGATAATCAATATAGAGAAGAGATAGTATTTTCCGACGTCTAATAATTAAGAATTATTTTCTAAGTTTTCTATTTAACTTGTTTTTAAATTTTATTCTTTTTCATTTTTAAGAAAAAAATTGTGCTTCATGTCATTCTATTTTTCTCTACATAAATTATAATCGCACAAAAGTTTCATTTTCTTTCTTCTTATAGTTTTTCAATAGAAATTAAATTTATTTTTTAAAATAATCATATTAAGTGAAACAAGTAAAAAGTATGGAGTAATAACGATAATGATAATGATGATAATAATAATTCATAATAATAATAATAATAATAATAATAATTTTTGATTGGATCTGATCTGGTCTGGTGTGGTGTGATTGGATCTGATCAGATTCCTTATTTTATTCTTTGAACTTCCCAAAAAAACTTTTTCTTTTTATTCTGGAAAAAAATGAAAACGTTTTATTTGAGATTTATAAAGTATATATCAACTTTTTTTTATCATTTTGTTTATTTTTATCTAGAACATGAACCATTTTGAAATTTTAAAACATTTTTAAAAAAAATAGAAAAAAAATAGAAACCTTTTAAAAAAGGAAACAACGAGAAGAAAAGAAAATGGAAAAATAGGCACCATGTCCCCTCTTTGCCAAAAAAAACGATCAGAAAATGGCCGGAAAATTATTTTTTGAAACCACATAGATTTGTGAATAAGTTTTGAAAACAGATGACACCACATTTCCTACCCTGGGTATTGGAGCTATTAGACCCTCTACTAAATATTAGTGAGACAAAGCAATATATACTACAAAGAATAAATAATATCAAGTTACCTCCTGACTGCAGCACTCTAAAAGCATTATGCCCAACCATCTGTATGGATCAGACAGAAATGCATTGCACAAAATGTATGTTTTTTTCTCTTTTCTCTTTTTTTTGGGTGTTAAAAGTATTAAGCATGCAGATGTAGAAAACATTTTTGATTTAGTCATATAGATTCTCTATTGAATTGTCATACAAAGAGAAGGGTTGAGTGTCATAGTATAAGTTCTCTATTGAAAGAGTTGATCAAAATAAAACAGCTTGTTCCAAAAAACAACTGAAAATCCTAATGATAGTAATAAGAGGAACTATATTTAGACATCATCCATGACATCAATTTTGGCACCGCTGTGTCTTAGAGTACCACTAGTCATTGTCGTGTGCAAAACCTGATTCTTTGAGATGCTGAAGCTTTGAGCTTTTCGAACAGGTCGATGGCCATGTGGTTTATAGGGTTGTTTGGAAATAGTGTTAGAGATTAGCGTTAGCACTTTGAAAAAACTATCTACGAGCAGCGTTTAGCGTCAGCGTTTTCAAAGTAATCTGCACCGTTAAAATTTTATCCAAAACGCTAACGCCAATCTCTAACGCTATTCCCAAACAAGCCCTATATCCTTGTATTCTCCCAAATTATGCTCAGGGCCTAGCGGCCGCTTCTTTGGCGCCAGAATCAAACTCCTTGGGTTTCATAGGTGCAAAGCCAAGATCCTCAACGAACTTCCCCCAATCCTTCAAAAGAGAAGGAGACAACTTCTTATTCAATGTTCTGGTCATTGCTTTCACCTCAACTTTGCGACCATCCTTTGCCAGCCCTTCCACCAAACACTTCAGCGTATCAATGTCCGGGATCTTGTGCAACTTTACACTGGTCTTAAACACTTTATATCCTGTCGCATACCGCCCTTGTTTGCACAAGTAAAACAATAAAGTCTTGAAAATAGCTGTGTTTGGAGTACATCGTTTAGACCCCAATGCATCGTACACCTTCTTTGCCTCGTCCATCATCCCTTTCTTACAGTAGCAAGAGATCAAGTAGTTGTAACTAATAGCATCTGGTTTGACACCGGCGTCAAGCATTTCTTCAATCAATGCCTCAACCATCTCCATGTCTCCTTCATGAATGTGCATTAGCCTCACGTTATACGCCCCAACATCAGCAAAGCTTCCATTTTTCTTCATCACCTCATTCCAGAACTTCTCTGCCTCATCGTTCCTCTGTTTCTTGTACAGCCCGTGTAAAATCGTGGTACAAGCGATTGGTGTAACATCAATGCCTTTCTCCTCCATCTCCCTTAACTTTTCCACAGCCATTTCTAGCGACCCCATCTCGCAATAAGCCTTGATCAATATCCCATACGAAAATTTATCAGGAGAAACTCCGTATTTCGCTTGGATCTCCTTGAAGTACTCCGGGACACGTTCCGATAGCTTGGAAGATATACAAGCATTGAGCAGGGCATTGAAAGAGAGGGAAGTGCGTGGAGTGCCCAGCTCAGACATTTCATCGAACAGTTTGTGTGCATTCGTGAGCATACCCGCAAGGCCATAGCACCGGATGAGGGAGGAGAGGAATGGTTCCTGTTTGATCTGGGGATCGGATTTGTGCGATTCGAGGAAACACTCGATGTCGGAAAACCGGTGGAACTTCGCGAGGCGGCGGACGGTGGATTCTTGAGCGTATCGGAGGGAGGCGTGTGAAGTGGAAAGGTTATTTGAAGAAGTGAATGATTTGTATATCTGCACTGCCACGTCCGGATCATGTTCGTGTTTAAGCTTGTTTTTTGTTTTGGAGATGGACAGCTTCCCGGCAAGTTTGGTGGTGGCGGCGGCGGCGGCGGCGGTACAGAGGCGGCGGAGGTGGCTTCGAACTAGGGAAGATGACATTTTGACCTTGACGATAGGATTTGAGGTTTCAGAAGAGCTTATTCTAGAACTTCAGTTAATACTTAATACAATCTCTACCACTTGTCTTTCTCATAATTCTTGAAAATATTGAAAATATATTAAAATATTCCATAGACATGTTTTTATTCTCAAAATAATATTTACATTGCCAAATATGGTTATATACATTAACAAAAAAGTATAGTAATGTGCACATGTACAGTGTCACATTACCACAGTGTACAGTCCTATTTCGAGAAAAAAATATGAAACTCTTATTTTGGTACTTTTCTCTATGTTTTAGTCCTATTTTGGTGATTAATATACTTTTTTTTCTTTAGAAGTTTTGAGCTTTCATTAATAGCTTTCTAGATTATGTGTGGTATACATACTTCTGATATTAATATCTTTTAGCAAGGGATTGTAAAAAAAAGGATTTAGCCCGGTTTGGTGCACGAAATTCAAACTAGGAAATTGAAATTGAGAACTTTAATTCTAATTCTGGTGTTTGGTAGCATAAAAAGTATAAGTATGTGGATTTGGAATTGATAGTGCAAAAAATGTGTTAGAGTGTCATCCACATCGGAAGTTCAAGAACAAAATAATCGGTATATAAGCTCTTGAGTTAAACTAACTAATCGATTGGATTCAATCTTTTAATGTGGTTCAGCCCAACTGTCTTATTACCCAATTCAGTTATTCTTATCTCATCTTAAATCCTATCATGGTATCAGAGAAGGTTTTGGCCAACCTCGTTTGTCAAGATGTCTTTCTAGATAGATGTTCATTCCTAGCGGCCTGTTAGTCTTTAGCCCAGTTGTTCGTATGGAGTATGTATCCAACGGCCTGTGGCCCATTTAACACGATTGCTCATCTGGAAGTCCATACCCAGTTGCTCGTGGTCCTTTAGGTGTTGGCATTCAAATAAAAAAAATCAAGGGAATGAGAGTTCATTTGTAGGTCAATCAGTTAGATTCAAAATGGTCCAGTTGTGCACTTGAGGGGGAATGTTAGAGTGTCATCCACATCGGAAGTTCAAGAACAAAATAACCGGCATATAAGCTCTTGAGTTGAACTAACTAATCGATTGGATTCAATCTTTTAATGTAGTTTAGCCCAACTATCTTATTACCCAATTCAGTTATTCTTATCTCATCCTAAATCCTATCAAAATGAATTGGAATTGATGAATTCAAATCTATGAAATTAAATTTAATGGAATTTCAATTCCAATTCAATTTTAATTTCATCAATTCCGTATACCAAACAGGCCCTTTGTGTTTTCCTCCCAATTGGGTTTTCACGTAAAAATTCATGTGTTTTAGAGTTTGGTGTGTTTTGTTAATCTATTTAGCATTCTCACTAGGCTAAGCATGTTTTCTGTTTTCCTGTCAAGGAGACAACTTTTCTGGCTAGTATACGGGACCTTGACATTTTACATATCTCTGAGGCAATCTAAGAAAAAGGATAAATGACTCGTTGAAACGGCATAGTACACATGAGAACTAGGAAAGGCAATAATTTGACAGTTCTCACATTTCTAAATTTGAAAAAAAAATAGTAAAATAAACATGCTTTCTGAATTTTGAGAACAAAAGAATTAAGCATGTTTTCTGTTTTCCTGTTAAGGAGACAACTTTTCTAGCCAATATACGGGACCTTGACATGTTACATATCTCCGAGGCAATCTAAGAAAAAGGATAAATGACTCGTTGAAACGGCGATGAATAAATTACTAACTTTTAGCATGCTAACTATATGATACCGTTAAACATTCGCATCCAAACTCGTCAAAGCATCTCTTTCCCTTTTCTTAGCAAGGTATTTGTGGTACTCTTCTAGTTCTTTCTCTAATTTCTCAATAAACTGACTTGTATGATCGAGTGACTGACCCAACTTGTACTTCTCCAATGCCTGCACACAAACAGATGTGGAGTTCATTACATAGAACTGCTAAGACCAGAACCAAAAACAAGTTCAAATTTTGAAATATACGACATGAAAAAACCATCACTACCTTTGCCTTGGAAAGAGTATCTCGAGGTGACAAAACATCAGGTCGGATATAATTCCTTCCTCGATAAAATATGATTGAATTGTCAGGGTTAATGCCAATAACAATGCCTTGGCTCAAACGTCCTAGCTCTGCAGCATATTCATGAACTTGCCCAGGCTTGCAAGGCTTGCATACAACCTTCACCGTCTCGTGATTTTTCCAGTGAAGATGCATGTTTAATACTACACCTCCAAACACACCTCGTCTTCCAACAAGTACATAATTTTTCTTTTTCTCGCCAATGCGCTTCAAGTAAAAGCGGTCGTCTTCGGTCAAAATTTCAGGATCATGTGGTTCAGCTACAGCATTGAGAACCTCAAATTTTCTCAGTTTCTCTATCAACCAAACCTCCTTTCGTTTAGCCTAACATACAATTCACAGATAGTGAGTGATGACTTAGTAACAAAATCAAAGCCATGGTAAAATTGAGTTATTGGGACATCTACAAGATCAGCTACCACCAACCTTATCAAGCTTGTATCTTATTCTAACTTCGGGATTCGGTGATTTCATTTTCTTCTTTGCCTTCAACCTGTAAAACCTAAGTTCGTTCACTTTAGCTCTTTTAGACATTTTAAACTTTTTTGCTGTTTTCTTAGCTTTTCCAAGTGACCCATCATTCTCCTTATCTTCACCAACACAAAATCTCACCACATCTTTATCCGTCTTCAGTACAAATGAAACATCATTTTGTTTAGCATCCACCCGCTTCTGGTAAGTACTAAATGATCTGTGAAAATCATAGGAGAATGCAGGGAAGAATTTCAATGGCTGGAAACAACTCCACAGTGCAGGACCGATTACATGTGTGGACAATGTTTTCCTTTCCAAATATAACAGACTGCGATCACCAGCAACCAAAAAACTAAAACAAAGCAGAGATTTCATCCATAAGTGAACCATCAAACAATCAAGTATACCAAAACACTCAAATTAAGCACAGTGAGACTATAATGCATCAAACGCTGGGGGCTAGAATGCCAAATAAAGCAGTGATCTAATTGATCTTTGAGAAAAGGGGAAATCTACCTGCAAATTTTGGAAATGTTTGAAATGGATATTGAACATTGACGACGCGAGTTTCTGTAGATTGCAAACATTTTCTTCGGCGCACTGAACTCGGAGTGAACCAAAATGCAAATATCAAATAAACCTTAAATCCTCCCTTTGATTCCCTATAACTCGATTAGTCAAGTCTACTACACATGCCTCTTCTTCATCTGCCCTCTTAGCTCAAACTTGTATTTCAATTCCACAGCCTGAATCTCTCAAATCGAAGAAAAAAACCCATACGCATAGAGATTCAAATTGAAGAAGAAGAAGAAGAGGCCAACACTGAGCTTATTCGTAAGTCCTCATACTCTTTTAATAATTAAAACCACAGAGTCCTTAAATTTTTGAATAAAAATTAGGAATCTTACTTTATAGCAAAGTACATCAAAATTTATACAAGACAAATACAGACAATAAATATCTGTATTTCTACAGGTATTTTTTTACCCAAAACCAAAGACAGAAATTTTACAATAAATAAAAAAAGAATCGATTATTCGGTTCTGTTTTTAGCCATTCAAATATCCGTCATTCGGTCCAATTCAGTTTTGCATAATACTTGTATATAAAAATAGTATTTATTTGTCATAATAAAAAACCATATACCATATTGCATTGCTAACTGTGCCAAAAAAAATGGCAAAAAAGTTTGAATAAAATGGAACTAAATAGGGTGTAAGACTATATCAGACTTCTATTGCATCATGATTATTGGTTTTTAACCAGAGCAGCATCTCTCTTTTTTTTGTTTAGCAGAACAGCATCTCATAGTAAGCTAAATTTGGAATTGCATTACCATTTCCATCTCTAATGACTTATGAGCTCAGAGTGCAAGGGAAATGCTTGAACCAGGCCAAAAACAACAGTGGAACAAGGCCTAACAATTAATAAAATACTAGCAGAAAGTCTATAAACCACAAATAACAATCAGCTAGCCGAAATCTGTAAACAACAATTGATTATCAGGAAAGCGAGGAAGTCTAATTTAATTACCAGAACTAAAATAGCAGAATGCATAATCAACAGAAGCTAGTAAACCAAAAATTAAATTGAAGCTAAATAAGTTGCGATCAAAAAAACCTCTGCTAGTCTTTCTTGGATGAAGATCGAGACCCGAGAGCTCTACGGGCGAGCGAGGGATGATATGAGTAGGGATGATTGATGAGAGGCTCTGAATAGTCATCGGCTCAACCCAAATGAAGAAGAAGATCAGTGTGATGAATGAATGGATGATGCACTTAGGTATTTATAGTTGATTGCAGATTGGGTCTGGACGGACTTGGGAGCCAGCCGTCTGGGATTGTGGTTCCCTTCTACTCAGTATTTTTTTTTAATAATCTCACATTTTCACATTTTTTGAAAAAAATAATCTTACTTTTCTATGTCATAGAAAATAGTGTCATCGTTTTACACATTAACAAGGTTTGAGTTACTGTTAAAAAGCTAACGATCATTTAATGAAATTTTTTAATATGTTATGACAGTATTTATGAGATTCCTCAATAACCTATGTGCACTCTTGTTTTGTATTGCATCTATTGCCCCAAATAATACCTTACCCTTTTTAAGTTACCTGTTTTCACATAGATGAGGTCTAATAGCATTACAGTGTCTTATCTTTTTCTTCTTCAGCATCTTATGTGTTGTAGTATTTGACACACTGCAACAGTGGTTTAAGGCACGTAGGGTTTGCTGCTAGTAGAATGGAATGTTAGTAATCTTTGAAACGTCCAAATTCAAACCTTTTTTCTCGAATTATCTTGCCACCTGCAATCAACATTCACTATCTGGCCCCTTTCCATTTGAACTTTTGCACCTTTCCATAGCTCTTCAACCCAACGAGTAGATATGTTGAATTCATTGCCCAATGTGATCAGTGACTCATGCTGAAGTTTGCCATTTTTGAAATTTGTAATATTGCCTCGATTATTCGTTGTCTCCTTTCGTTTCTTGCTTGCATGCCAAAAATACATGAGATGTTTGTTTCAGGGGTGTTAAAAGCTTCAAAAGGAACTTCGAAGAGTGGAGGCAGTAACACATCCGCAAAGTCGTCATTGGCATCTCCAAAAGGTGTGGAAGTTAGAAGACTTGGTGGTTCCATCAATGCCAAATGAAGGCAGACAGAAGCATTGAAGCATTTAATTTAATGGAAGGGCTATTTAGGGAAATGAATGCCTCTAATGTTTTAGTTTAATTATAGTAATAAGTGGTAGTGTTAGGTTGAAATATTTGGAGGGCTTTTGAAAATTTTGCCCAAATTAACTTTTTGTGAATTTTTCATCTTTTCTTGTGGATGCCGTGTGAAATGAAAAGCTTTTGGTGGATATCATTATTTAATATCCACTATTCATGACAAGTTACTCACTATTATTCTCAATTCTTTTTCTCCTTTGCTATGATCCCACGTGAGATTGAGGGGTAAATTGGGAAAGTCTTTGCCAAAATATGGGTTTCTTAATTTGGCTAAAAGTCAAAACAAGTACCTTTTAAGGAAACGAAGGGAGTAATTATCAGTGTGGTCTTTTATAATTGAAATGCATTTCTTAAATAGTCATCTACTGAAAATGTCTTTTAAATGACAGTCAAATAGAATGTATTTTTGGAATTTTATACCATCTAGATTTAAAATACATTCTCGAAATGCTCTTTTATAATTAAATATTTTTTCAAACTCATAATTTCCAAGTAATTGTTTTCCCGAAATAGAGTCTGTGAGCCTACTCAGGGTGGGCTCGTTCCTCTAACAACACCTAATTAATTTAAAAGGACCATTTTGAGGACTGATCCATAATATAGATTATAAAAATACAAAAATACCCCTAATTTAAATGTCATTTAGCAGGCATTTTTGATAGAAGTCTATTTAAGGAATACTTCTCAACTGCAAAGGATTGTGTTGGTAATTACTCCTTCCGTCCTATAATGATCTTCTCAGAGCATTATTCCAACTTCACGGGAATTTATATTTATTTGTGTTTTTTCATGGCCTATATGATAAAATAAAATATTCTTGTCACCACTTGTTTTGTTGAACTTTTGATGTAGTTTTTAAATATGTATGTTTTATTTTTTATTTCTATACCAATATTTAAATAAAATAGATTGAAAAAACTTGGGATTTTTCTTCGTTTTGCGAACCGGAAAGATCATTATAGGACGGAGGGAGTATTATTTATTGAGAACCCCTTTGGGAAAAAACACCTTATTAAAAAAGACCCTTGTAAGAATTTACTTTTAATTTATCATGACATAAACAGTGGATGAAAAATACTCTGTCAGTGGTATCATTATATTCTATACTTAGCGAAATATGCAGGACAATTTCAGGGATTTTGGTGGTTTTTTTAATAATAATCTTTTTTCTATTTTTCAGTAAATAATAAATTTAAAAATTTGGTACAAATGATATATGTGTAAGTTATACTTTAATCCGAGTTTTAGTTTTTTGTAGATTAATATAAAAAAGTATTTTTAATTTTTTTTAAAAATAAAATTTTTTTGTTATATTTTAAGGTGTAAACTATAAACTAAGTATCTATATATTCAGTAGTGAAATCATTATTAAAAATCTCGAGGCATCGCGGACTGATATTTCATAAACAAGATTAGTACTCCGTATGATATACAATCGCAGAATTGAAATATTTGGTACATTTTTTTTTGTTCTTGACTTCAGCGGTCAACAAAATTAAACCTACTAAAATCCAACCTCCGTGGGGTAGCGGCGCTTGCGGTCGACGACGGTGCAATAGTCAAACACGCGCTGGCTATTGGCGATGATGAGCGGCGCGTTGGCCTTCTGGTCCGGCGAGTGGATGAAGAGCTTCACCAAGGAGGAGTGGCACTCGATCCCCATGAGGACGAGATCGCCGCAGCACACGTCGGAGACGTCGCGGCGGAGGAGCATGGCGCTGATCACCTCCGTGGCGCAGTCCACCGACATGTGGTCGGTGCAGTTGTCGAGGAACTCCGTCACGTTCTTCGGCAGCGAGTCCATGTACCACTGCTGTTGGCTCTTGTGTCCGGGGCCCGCCGCCGGCCGGTCCGTCGTCGGGCCGCCGGGTTGCGGCTGAGCGCCGCCGTGGTGGAGCGCTAGGGAAGTGACCAAAGCCGCTAGGACGACGTTGCTCGGCCACGCCATTTTCTTGTGTTGCTTTTCTTTGTTTTTTAAAAAACAAATAAAAAAAAGCTTTATATGGGTTTTTGAGGTTTATAATTGAACTTTAATTATATATACGGTGTAATTTTTTAATGAGTACAATGTTTATTACTGCTCGATTCATTGCATGCCGTTTTGGGATTTGGGATCTAAGTTCAATTCACCATAAGTTGCATAATTGCATTATACAGAGTATTTTGGTTGGTGTTAATTAGTGCATAGTGGCATGAAAAAAATAGATTGAATCATGTCACACGATGAGGTGTCACATTTGAACTAAGGCCAAATAGCTCCGGTATCTCCTGTGCTTTGAAAAATTGGCACTAATATTCCCTCTGTTTTCAAAACTTATTTCTAAAGTTTTCGTGGTTTCAAAACGTTGCACCCACACCCCCTCTGATCATTTCCCGGCCATTTTCCGGCGAAGAGGGGGCATTGGCGCATAATTTTTAAACCATAGGGGGCATTTGTGCTCATTTCTTATTTTCGTTTATTATACTTCCCTTTTTTAAATATTTTCTATCTCTTTTTTCTTTTCCTAGATTTTTTTAAATATATTTTCAATTTTTTATAATTATTCAAAAATTTTCAAATTCTTTGTGTTTGAAATGAAAAAAAAAATAAAAAAATTAACATATATTACATCTATCTCAAATTAAACATTTTCACTCTTTGTTACTCATAATAATGTTTTGGAAAGTTCAAAAAAACAAAGAATAAAAAAATAAAAATATGGAAAAACGAAATGAAAAAAAATTAAAATACGCAAAAAAAGTCTTATACAAAAAAATTGGACATGTCTAAAAAAGTCCATAGAATTAAGATGTCCAAAAAGGATATTCATTTTTATTTTTGTATTAATTTGTTTCTTATTTTATTCCTCATTTTTTTGAATTTCTTAAAAAATTACTTTTTTCATAAAAAAAAATGTTAATTTGAGAAGTACAGATGCATTATATGTTATTTTTTTCAAAGAAAAATAACTTTAAATTTTAAAAACATTATAAAAATAGTTTTTAAAAAAACCTTTATTAATAAATGAAACAAAAAAAAGGAAAAATGGAAATAACAAAAAATATGCGAGAAATAAAAATCAGCATTGATACCCCCTATGGTTTAAAAAATATGTACTAACGCCCCCCTTCTTCACCGGAAAAATGGCCGGAAAATGATCAGAGGGGGCACGGGTGCAACATTTTGAAACCACGGGGACTTTAGAAATGAGTTTTGAAAACAGAGGGGGTATTGATGTTTATTTTGCAAACCACGAGAGGTATCAATAAAAAAATAACCAGTCACACAATATTAAATGAGTGGAGGGGCATATCTTAAAGTGGCTGATTGGGTTAACCAAATACTCACTATTATTATGGGGGTTCTTTTTTATGAATATCTTTTCATAAATAATTCATTTTTATCTTCAGTCATCTTGATGTTAATTTGAGTCCTAAAAGTGTAATTTAACTATGATTGTAAATTTTTCTTGTCATATACAATTCCAAAAGCCACTCTTGATGCATTGTTTGTAAATTGCAATCGCTTTCTACTTCAACCTTAGTCTAGAGATCGATGTAGTCTTTCACCGGAATCATAGTTCACAATCATAATTATTATTGTTGTGTTGTCCGTCTAACTGACACCAGAATATGTCACTAGACATAAGGTTGATATCAAATTATGTTTTTTGTCTTCAAATTAACACCAATATGATAAAAGGTAAAAACACTACTCCGGTATTGGTAGAAAATTACCCATAAAAGAAAGACCATGTGAATTATATTTGATTATATATAGATGACTAAATATGAAATCCTGTATTATAAAAGACTAATTATAGAATTATTCTAAAATTTAATTTGGATTTCATGCTTCATTTTATAGTAGACCGTGATTTCATTCTTCTTGCGAGTTCCATCCCATTTTTCATTCTTCTTTTAGCCCATAATTGTAAGATATTACATAAATAGTTCTCAATTTTTAAAAATTATTCTACAAATAGTCATTTAATCAAATATGACAAAATATTTTTTCCCGTATGTTGCCCATGAGGGATCGAATATAGAATAGTTATAAAAATTGAGATCAATTTATATGTAAAATCTTGGGATTGAAGACAAAATATGAAAAAGCAACTGCAATTAGAGACCATTTTAGACAATTGCTCAATTTAAAAATTTAACAAAATAAGAGCTACCATGATTATTTAATTTTATCAACTAGTCACGAAAATATGGAAACAATATAGAGAAGGTTTGATTATATTAAAATTAACCAAGTTTTTATTTGAAAGAGATGGAATATAGGGAGTATGTTTTCTCATAATTTGTAATTAAGATTTGCAATTTAACTAGAAAGTCAAAAGCTAAAAAAAGTCTAGTACGGACTGAATATTATTACTCCATGAGAGTCCACCCATCTCCTAGAAATCTTCACATTTTGACTATTTTGGTTGAATAATATTATGACTATAAATAAATGAGAGAATGGAGTGAGCATTATTACTCTATCGGAGTATAATCTTTAAATAAATAAATGTCACGAAGTATAAAAATGAATACGTTAAAAGTATATCTTAAAATAAATTATTACTAAATATATCATTCTTTATATTTATTTGTAATGAAAGTTTTTTTAAATTTGATAAATTTTAAAAAAGGTTAAAGTATAGAGGTTATTAGAAGAGGAAAGAGTACTCCCTCCGTCCTATAATGATCTTCCCAGAGTACTATTCCAACTTCACGGAAATTTATATTTATTTGTGTTTTTTATGGCCTATATGATAAAATAAAATATTTTTGTCACCACTTATTTTGTTGAACTTTTGATGTAGTTTTTAAATATGTATGTTTTATTTTTTATTTCTATACCAATATTTAAATAAAATAGATTGAAAAAATTTGAGATTTTTCTTCGTTTTGCGAACCGGGAAGATCATTATAGGACGGAGGGAGTATTATTGATGTTGTTATTAGGGTGTGGGGAGTATAATTTTTTTGATGTTATTATAATTAGTGGAAAATGATTAGTGTACTATTGGAGAGATTTCGCTGGAAGTGCAAGCTGTACAAAAACGAAATGGCAACGATTATCAACCGCGTGGGCCCCCCACGTTAATCTTTTGGAATTTCCGGATGAAATAAAATTAGAAATGAAAAAGAAAACAAATTTTATCAACAAAAGAAAAATGGAAATTCCCGAATGAGACACTTTCCTCTTTCTCCTTCTTCTTCTTCTTCCACAGAAATCATCAAATTCACTGTAAAATCTCTCACTCCCTCTCTCTAATGGCGTCTCTCTTCAGGGATCGAACGATTGGGCATTCCAGGAGAGAATCGTTCTCCTCCACTGCCTCAGCTGCCGCTGCAGCTATTATATCCTCCGCCAGCTCCCGCTTCTCCGTCGGCGGCGCCGCAGTTTCCGCCAGCGCCGCGCTTTCACCGCTTCCTTCTCCGTTCGGAGACCTAACTCCGACGCTCACCGCCGACGACCTCCGCGAAACGGCGTACGAGATCTTCGTCGCGGCGTGCCGCACCTCGACCGGGAAGGCTCTCAACTACATTCCGTCCTCGGCGGATGGATCTCAGTCGCCTTCGCATTCCTTGAACTCCAATTCGTCTTCTTCGCCGTTGTTGCAGAGATCCATCACTTCTACTGCCGCTTCCAAAATGAAGAAGGCTTTGGGCCTCCGATCCAGCTCCATTTCGAACTCCAAGCGGGCTGATGGCAGTCCGGGCTCAGGGGGTAGGCCCAAGAAGCCCATGACCGTAGGTGAGCTAATGAGGGTTCAGATGAGGGTCTCGGAGAGTGTTGATTCCAGGATTAGGAGAGGTTTGCTGAGGATTTCTGCTAGTCAGGTGAGTAAACTGAATTTCCTTGTTTTCTCAGCTCTTTCCAGCTATACTCTCCCTAGCACTACTTATTTGTGGCTTTACTTACATAAATGGTTTCATATTGGAGCATACAAATTTAATCTTGGTATATGATGGTTTTACTTATGGCTTTGATAGAACAACTAGTCAATTCGTTGTATAATATTTTGACCCACTGCAGCTTCTTGATGTGATCTGCATACTTTTTTTGTCTCTTTTTTTGTGATTTGAGCTTTGATTCAATTGCGTGATTGTGGGGTTTGAAATGAATAACAACTGCCTTTTCATGTCCTGCATACCTTGCAAAACTGCAAAGAAATGGGAACTTTTTCTTGCATACTACTTCTGGAGTTCTTGATATATTTTTAACACCCCTTCTACCCGCTTCCCGTTATTCATTTCACTGTACCTTGGGAGAAAGGGATCCTGGTTATTGGTTGGACATGCGGGGAGCGGGGATAATTTCACATAGAATGGGATAAACATCTTTCATGGCTTCTTTTAAGATGCTTAGAACTTAGAAGTAGGCCACTTTGTCATGCCATTTTTGTCTTTTAGCTCATTAATATGATATACAGGGTAACTAGTTCTCTAAGATTTTTGGGATGTATACTTGTTTTTACTTTGAAATATCTTCAAACATTGTGGTCTTTCATGATCTTAAATACACACACTTGAGAAGATATTCAAATAACATTTGCTGGTTGTCAGTTATGTTGGACATCAGTCTGTATATCTACATTTTATAAGTAAAAATACAAGAAAATAAGAAGCAAGCAAACAAACAAAATGAATTATTTTGTTAATGACAGAAATAGAAATGGATGTTCTTCACTCTTGATTTATAACGTTATATTTACCATGCTTAGGTTGGAAGAAGAATTGAGTCAACTGTTCTCCCACTGGAGTTGTTGCAACAGTTCAAGTCTTCAGATTTCACTGATCAAGCAGAATACGAAAGGTGGCGGAAGCGAAACATAAAAATTCTAGAGGCCGGACTTCTTTTACATCCTCACACGCCACTTGATAAATCGAATGCTGCTTCACGACTGCGGCACATCATTCAATCTACATTAGAGAAGCCAATGGAGACCGGGAGAAACAATGAGTCAATGCAAATCCTTCGAAAAGCTGTGATGGATCTTGCTAGCAGATCATCAGGTGGATCTGTCATGGACTCAAGCCATTGGGCAGATGGTTTCCCATTAAATCTTCGACTATATGAGATTCTCCTAGAAGCCATTTTTGACGTTAATGATGAAACATCTATTATAGAGGAAGTTGACGAGTTGATGGAACTTATAAAGAAGACATGGGGGATACTTGGGTTAAACCAAGTGCTTCATAATGTTTGCTTTGCATGGGTCCTATTCAATCGCTTCGTAGCCACTGGACAAGGTGTGAATGAACTGCTAGATGCTGCTGATGGGCAGTTAGCTGAAGTTGCTAAAGATGCAAAGGAAACTAAAGATCCTGAATATTCTAAAATCTTAAGTTCTACACTAACTGCAATTTTGGGTTGGGCTGAGAAAAGACTCCTAGCATATCATGAAACTTTTGATGTTAGAGATATTGAATCAATGCAAACCATTGTATCCATTGGTGTCTCAGCAGCTAAAATTTTAGTTGAGGATATATCCAATGAGTATCGGCGCCGACGAAAGGGTGAAGTTGATGTAGCTAGGAGCCGAATCGAGACTTATATTAGGTCATCGCTTCGCACTGCTTTTGCTCAGGCAAGCTATTTGTGTCTGCTTAACCTTTTTCTTCAAAGAAAATCACAATTGGAATTATAATGAACAGCCTACAAAAGAATTGAGAATGTTCATAAGAAAATATTACTTCCATGTTATAAATAGGTGCAAGCTATGTGCATAAGAATCACACACGATGGTCATTGACTGCAAAATGCATGGCGTTGGACTATGCATGTCACGGGAATGTCTATACCTTTTCATTTCTGTTGTACTCCCCTCCCTCAAAAATCCCACTTTGACTTTATGCGCTCATTAAGAAAATAAATTTGTCTAATTTGAAAGGAAGAGCAATATCAACCACACAAATGTTCCTTAAATGGAAATTAAAATGAAATTTTGGGACCACCAAAAATGAAAACAAGAAGAAAATTTCAGGGCAGTCACAACCCACAATATTACTTTGGAGCACAATTATTCAATGGAATGATCTTCAAATGCTTAACAGTGCATGCTTACTTGACCCCAGGTGACAGAGTGATTGATTTACTATTTCTAAATTTCACCTGCAAATACAAACTATGAAATATCATGTGCACTAAAAGCTAATTCCTGGTTTTTATATTGAGACATTGAGAGATATTGCGTCCCTTGTTAGTGTTCTCTTTGTGTTGTTTTCTATGATGCTGAAATGTTATGCCAGTTGAAGATTTAAATTGAGACCATCGTTTTTATGTCAATTTACAGATGATGGAGAAGGCAGATTCAAATAGAAGAGCATCAAGGAACCAGCTAAATCCTCTCCATGTCCTTGTTATTCTTGCTAAGGATGTTGGTGAGCTGGCTACTAAAGAGAAAGAGGTATTTAGCCCCATCCTGAAGACATGGCATCCATTTGCTGCAGGTGTGGCCGTTGCCACCCTTCATGTATGTTATGGGAATGAATTGAAACAATTTGTTTCGGGTGTAACGGAGTTGACTCCAGATGCTGTACAAGTTTTGAGAGCCGCGGATAAGCTGGAGAAAGATCTAGTGCAGATTGCTGTTGAGGATTCAGTGGACAGTGATGATGGTGGGAAAGCTATCATCCGTGAGATGCCACCTTTTGAAGCTGAAGGTACAATAGCCAACCTGGTGAGGGATTGGATTAAGATGAGAACAGACAGACTAAAGGAATGGGTGGATAGATGTCTCCAACAAGAGGTATTTAATTATCCCTAATTGTCTGAATATGCACATAAGTGTTATGTTGATAACTTGAGTATGGATGTTCTTCCTCCGTCCCGTAAAACATTTCATCTTTCGCATCTTACATGTCCCGTAAAACATTTTAATTTGGCTCAAATGGACACAATTGCCATACTTTTCTTAAATCTAACCGAACAACCTTCAACTACCTTCTACGCCCTACCCGTTTTGACATTTCCTGAGCTTAACTTGTTTCAATTATCATCGTTTAACCTTGGTCAAACTTCCATAACTACCCTTCCCAAAAGTCAAAACAGGAAATGTTTTACGGGACGGAGGAAGTAAGTTTTGTGTTGATAACTTGTCTGAGCATTTGGTGGTAACGAGGAGGGAGCTTTTGGAGATGATCCAAATCCAGAGTCTATCCCTGATCTCCAATCTAGTTGATGCTTGTTCCCAGTCTGTCAACCTTTTTTGCTGGTCGTATATGTGTCCATGGGCATAAGCCAGGAAGCCCGGGACCCTAAAATTCCGAGTTGGAGTTGACGGGAAAATAATTCATCCATATACATTTCTACATTAGAAAATGACACTTAAATTAATTTTTAAAAAATACCATACTTGGGATGGGCCATGGCCCGCACTGGCTCACTCCTAGTTACGCCAGTGATGTGTTGCGAACATTTGCCTTACTTTTTTTTTACTCCGTGATAAATTGGGCTACACTCTCAATGCAGTATAGGCTTCAACTTTGAATGCATTGTGGCATTGTACATTTTCACTTCTTCCACCTTTCTCAATCAAGTTGCTAGCATCTTACTTTACAAGTCATTTTTTCAGCTTAAACACATCAAATGTACAGAGTATGTCTGTATGCACGTATACATGTTTCTTAATTTTTCTGTTTATAGGCTTTTTATTTATTAAAGAAATTTTTATAAAACATCCAATCAATGATGACTGATAATCTACAGCCATGACAGAGTAAAAGTGGGGTAAGATGGGAAAAGGAAAGATGCTCACGGGCGAGTCAGCGAGTGGTGATACATGACCTTTGGCTACTACTATTATAGCACTAGGAAATACGAAGTAGATTTTATAGATTGTATCATGAGCAACGCCAACTAGCCAACTACATAAAATGACCAATAAACTTATGTTAGGCTGTCAGATATGACTCACAAGCATTTTAATCTCAACCTTAAGTTTGTCATGACTCTGTCCTTTTCCCATGTTATTTTTCGCTCCCTTCCTCTTCACTTTCTTTGCAGGCAGATAAGGACGGTAATTGTTTAAGTTTACTTTATAATGTACTCCGTAATATACTGTTCTGTAATCCAACTTGGCTTCTTGCCTTTTAGGTTTGGAATCCTCGAGCCAATGAAGAAGGATATGCTCCTTCAGTTATTGAACTCCTGCGGACTATAGATGAAACTCTGGATGCATTTTTTCAGTTGCCAATACCAATGCATCCATCACTTCTCCCTGATTTGATGGCTGGGCTCGATAGGTGTCTTGAATACTATGTAACCAAGACAAAATCTGGATGTGGTAATTATTCTGTTTTTGTAATATATGTTATAGATATTGATGAACCATAATTTCTAGCCTCTGTTTGGTTATGAGAGAAATAGCAAAGAAAGAAACTAGAGTAGATCTTATGTATTCTGTTTGGTAGGAGATAAATATCTGAGAAATAGAATTGAAAGAGAAGCTGATTGCAATTTTTTTAATAAAACAGAACTACACACAACTGATCATTATTATTGGTTTCACACTATATAGGATCAAGAAGCACATATATTCCAACTATGCCAGCATTAACGAGGTGTACCGTAGGGACAAAGTTTCAAAATGTGTGGAAGAAGAGAGACAAGTCAATGAACACACAGAGGAGGAATTCCCAGGTTGCAACAATGAATGGAGATAGTAGTAACTGCGGGATGCCTCAGTTATTAGTACGCATAAACACTTTACAAAAAATCCGAACGGAGTTGGAAGTTCTAGAAAAGAGGATTATCACACTTTTGAGAAACTCAGAATCTGCTCATGTGGATGACATCGCAAATGGTTTGGGCAAAAAATTTGAGATCACACCAGCTGCTTGTGTGGAGATGATACAACAAATCAGCGAGGTGATGGCGTACAAGGTTGTCTTTCATGACCTCAGTCATGTTTTGTGGGACAGTCTTTATGTAGGAGAGCCCTCTTCCTCTAGGATAGAACCTTTCCTCCAGGAGATCGAACAAACCCTTACTATCACATCAAACACTGTTAATGAAAGAGTACGCACCCGGATCATTGCTGACATAATGAAAGCATCCTTTGATGGTTTCTTGTTTGTCTTGCTTGCCGGAGGGCCTTCTCGTGCATTCACTAAGCACGATTCCCAAATACTAGAGGAAGATTTTACATCTCTTAAGGATCTGTTTTGGGCAAACGGAGATGGATTGCCCACTGATATCATAAACAAGTATTCAACAACGGTCAGGGATGTCCTTCCACTCTACAGGACAGACACAGAGAGCCTCATAGAGCGTTTTAGGAGATTGACTCTAGAGGCTTATGGGTCCTCTGCCAAGTCAAGGCTTCCCTTGCCCCCGACTTCAGGACAGTGGGACCCGACCGAACCGAACACGCTTTTGCGTGTCTTATGTCACAGGAATGATGAGGCTGCCACAAAGTTTCTCAAGAAGACTTACAATTTGCCCAAAAAACTGTGATTGGTCCAGCGGAGATACATACAGATCTTCTGCATTGTGTAAGAGTATTAACCCATGCGTGCTCTTGTTGCTTGGTTGAGTGACAGTGCTATCCTGTATAGTTATCCATTCCGGCTTTAATAATTTATCAATACTTCTGAAGAAACACCATATCCGGTAAAGGTTAGTTTTCAAATGCTTCATATGTTTATAGGTTATATATCAGTTTTGCGTAGATCTTATGTTACCCATTGTTGGCTGCAATAGGGTTCTTCTTGTGTAAGCTTCTTTCAGCCTTATATTCATTTGTTATTCTTTTTTTTTTAACTAGAAAATTCAATGTAGAGGAGAAGATTGGCTTTGTCTATTGATACGAATATTGATTCATATTTATGATCAGAATATATCCCATTGAGTTTTAGAATGATATTGAGGCTTTTACATATTTACTTTACTACATGCTTTTGTTTATGCCCTTCATATATGAATGCCAAGTTATTGTAAAATCTAAACCCGGTGAAATCCGTGCTAAGGTCCACAGCACTCAACTGTCTCAACAACATCAATAGTTCATATGACGTTTTACTAATTTGAACAAAATGATAGGGTTTGTATGGGCTGCAGAGTAGAATCATGTTCATCTCTTCTATCACCAAACACTCTCTGTGGTTTGCACGAGGACGATGGTGATGGTGGGTGGTCAGAAGCCGAGAACCAACAACGCAATAATCCGACATGGATTGATTTTGATCTCAAAGAAGTTAGAAGAAGAAGAAGAAGAGGTATACTTTCTAGTGAAGATGATGTCACATAGCACAACAATGAATTGGAACCACATTTTGTGCTATATGATAACATCTGTGTAGGGTAGGGTGGGTGTGGGATAACATTTTTGAGACAGGATCCCCTACCTTCAGATATAGCAGCTAGTCGGGTCCTCGGACGAAAAAGGGATGCCTTGAAAGTGTGGACACATCTCGGTCCTATGCCCCGTTTTGAGATTTTTCAAACTCATATATGTAGGACATTTTTTTGTTACCGAAGTGATTCCAAACGGAATATGAGCTTTTGTGGATGGAGGACTTGTGAAGCTGTGACCCCCCAAAATCTCTCACTAAAATGAAAAAAATATCAATTTCATGCCAATTTAAGTTGTCTGTTTATGATATTTGATTGAAATTATTTTTAATTTTAATTTATTTCAAAATTGGTGTGGAATACAAAAATTAAAATTACTATATACGGAGTATAAATATACATATTGTTTTGAGTAACAAAAAGTAGTTAAAAGATGTTTGAAGTTTTACTATGTAAATAATACTCCCTCTGTCCCAGTGTATTTGTCTAGTTTGACTTTTTCGAGTCAAACTGAACGAACTTTGAGCTTCAATTAAATAAAAAAACGTAATATATTTTAACATAAAAAAGACTTTATTGGATTTATAATATTGAGAACTTTCAAAATTATATTTCATTATGCTAATATGCAATATAAATTGAGAGTAATTGGAGTTCATAGTTTGTTCAATTTGACTCAAAAAAGTCAAACTGGACAAATACACTGAGATGGAGGTAATACTCTGTAATGAGCAAATATCAAAACTATCAAAACGCAACTATCAAAACTCATATCTCCTACATGGAACAAGATTCCACACTATTTCGTAACTAAATAGGCAAATGTAATAATGTGATTGAGATTCATGCAAGTGAAATAATGTAAATATACACCATTATTTCATTTGAAAAAGAAAAGTGGAATTTTTTTAGCAAAAAAAAAAGAGGAAATGTGAGACATTTTCCAAAGATGGTGTAAAAGAACTGAAATCATTTAGAATACAACTTGTTATAACTCACTTAACTCACATTGATCACCAATATTGACTATACAAAAAAACATGTTTCTTGGAGAAAACAAGCAATCTATGGAGTTTGGATGCAATTTACAAAAAAAAAAGGATTGCCCAATGCACAAAAGACATCCCACCATGAAAGTTTTTGGGTGTGAAGGATACAAAACTTACCTTTCATTTTTGCCTCCCACCAAAAGTTGCCAAAGAAAACAAAAAGCTAATGTGTGGAAGAAGAGCCAAGGCAGTCGATGACGATCTCCTTGATCCGTTTCTTCAATATGTTATCTTTGACACATCCAAGCAAGTTATGGTAGAAAGTCTCCAACCTCAAGAGCTTTTCGCGATCCAAACCCTCCAACATGTTTTCCCAGTCGTTTGCAATTCCGAGCGTGCCCTCCACTGAGGCAGGGATGTCGCGCTCTGGACAGAACGGTCTCCCAAAGATAGAGCTGTGAAGCATGCCCGCGTATCGTTCCATTGCGGATAGTTTGGTCTGGAGTTGTTTTATCTCCCTCGTTGCTGCGTTTAGCTTTTCCTCCATTTCAAGGACATCCTTGTTACGTTCCGTTTCTTCTTTATTTACTCCTTTGTTGTTACCTTCGCTGGGAGACGGTTGTGGGGGCCACACAGCAGGGGTTGGGACGAAAGTGTTGGTTGTTTGTCCATTTCCAAGAACCCCGCTGCGTCCCCGGCCCCACGACCAGATCTTGTATCCGGAATCGGAGAGGAGAACAGTGTGTGCAGCACCACAGACGACCTGAACCGGTTCCTGAAACTTAGGGTGCCCGTATTCGCGAGAGATCAACAAGGGTGACATTGCATCGCCGGTCTCGTCCCCGGTGAACCTTGAGTCAGGGCATAGTCCCATGCCCTTTTCCATTCCCCACGACCAAACATCTCCGGCTGAGGAGACGACACTGGTGTGGAACAAGCCACAGCCAACCGAAATGAAAGACGCGCCCTTAGGCAATTCTTTCACCAGTTCAGGTGATGAATGGCTTCGACTTGTGCCATGACCTAACTGCCCATTTTCGCCAAGGCCAAACGTCCAGCAAACACTTTCCAATACGCCACTTTGGGTTTTCTCCGCTAGTAAAGCCGTGTGGAAAGCCCCACACGCCACGTCATAAACTGTCCAAGGGGATTTGGAATCAAAGGGTTCAATAGTTTCAGGCGAGACACGGCTTTCCTCGTCCCCCAAGCCTAGCTGGCCGTGGCTGTTCCCACCCCAAGAATAGCACACCAGGTCATTCTTCTCTTTGTAAGTTTCTCCTATGGTGACTAAAGCCACAACATGTTCGTTCCCACATGCCACCTTGACAACAGTGCGTCCATGGAAGCTCCATACAGGCATTGGGTTAGAGGTGGTGAAGGCACGGGAGTCTTTGGCATTAGTGGACTTGCTTTGTTGTGGCTGAGGGCAATTGCCCCATATCCAGAGACCTCCAAGACTGTCAATTGCTAGAGACATCATTCCTCCAGCATTGACAGAAGAAACCTGAGCAGAAAAATCTTTTATGAAAGAACAACAACAACAAATGTTGTAAACTCCCACAAAAGTAGGGCATGGGGATGGTGTGTGCATGTACCCATTACCCATATTATGAAGTAGAGAGATCATTTCCAAGAGACCCTCGGCTCACATATAGAATTGCAAACAAAGAAACCATTGGAGCACAAACAAAGTATGAACATAGACAAAAGAAACATACAAGCAGGCTCTAAAAAAACTAGACACAAATCACAAATCACAAAAAGGACTCTCTTCAAACTAAATAAGGCATAAAAATGCAGCAACATAGACTATAAACTAAGGCTCACAAGTCACAACTCTGCTCAAGCTCAACTACTACAATCCTAGATCTCCAGATTATAAAAGAGCGACACATTAATGCTATATCAGGAACTTGAAAACCGACAGGATAAAAATACATTCTTTCCATCCAAAATTAAATTCACAATTTCCTTTTCCGCCAGTCCCAAAATAAAATCCACATTTCTCCATTTCAAGAATGAAACACATGGCTCTCTCTCTCTCTCTCTCTCT